GTTATTTTATTAATGGTATACAATTTTTAAATATGTTAGTCTGACAGTTTTGTAGATCATTTTTAATAACCTACTTGTCCTGAATAATCACTGGCCATAATCATTATGAGAATATAGGAGATCCTTCGCATGTGGACATAGCATTATTACTTAGTTGTCATAACCTTGTGTTGAAGATTGTGAAAGCACTAGATAAATCCCGTTAGCGAAAATACTACCATGGTGAGCTACAGCCAATGACTAGCTGGACTTTGTTCACTCCTACTCCCCAACCCCTGCCAACTAAAAATTTACAATATCCAGTGTGTTAGTGTATAAACTATCTGTCTACACCATCCTGCAAACTGAATACCATGTTTTCGTTGTCAAAGATTTTTTGTACAGATGGCAAACATTTTACTTTTGATTTTAAGGTTCATTGAACGAATAACAATAAAGTGACTAAATCCAAATTATAATTAACGTTACGATTTGTATTGCAAATGTTATGTAAATTATTATAAAGCAAATCTTTATTTATGTAAAAGAATATCACGTAGTTACTTTCCTTAAAGAAGTAAAAAATATAATTATTATCATTAAACGTCTTCACAATAAATACGAAACATACACAATATGTAAGTTCAAGTTCTAGGTACAACCTAAAGATATAGTTCGTTACAAGTTCTAACAACACACATTTGCAACGTTGAATCATATGTCTCTAAATGACATATTCCTACTGGGTATTCGAGAAAACAAGGCTGTTATTATTAACTAGTGACTAAACATAAGAGTCATTTGATACGCATATCTACGCATAAATACGTTTTCATACTAATCCATTAGAGCCAAGTAAAACAACAATGTAAGAATAATTTTCTTTTAAATTCTTGTATTATATTTTATCCACCTAATCGTCAGTGTGTGTCAAGAATAAGTTTATGTTATAGGGAAGAATAATAATATTAGGTGAAATTTGATGCACAGTTTAAAAATATGCATATATTTCTATTTTAATACACTTATTAGAATTAGTTTTATATGTTTGTTTATTGTACGAGACACAAATTCACTGAATATGTCAACAAATTTACCAAACAACTCAGGATTCTTTATGCAATTCTCTGAAATAATTTAACCTTTTAAATGAGTAACGATATCATAGACCAAATGTATGAACAGCAATTGACCTTTCATTTGTATGGCTTAATATAGGGAAATAAGGAATACAAGTTGTTTAACCATGACAACCTCAAATGTGTAAGTGTATCCAATCATAGGACATAGTGATGTTGTTGGACGTTTTTCCCAATTAGTTTAAATTCCACAATTAGTATGTTTGCAATTTTGTATTATATTTTACATCCCTTGTATGGTTACAATATCACAATAAAATCTTCTAAAATAATTATACTCAAAAAGTATACCCTCTATGAGCTGCATAAAAAAATTAAATACCTAAGTTACATTTTATCTGTGAATAAATGGTATGGAAAAGTAGGGTATCTCTAATGTTAGACTTTATCATGTGAATATAAATACATCAAAACCTTCATTCAGTGCATGCAAGCACTTTTTATTCAATGCATGTCTTCCTGGTTGGAATCTGTAATTTCCCTCAAAATATCCCACGCGATGTACGAAAGGAAATCTTTATCTATGCCATTTATATTATAATAAGTTATTACATATATTTGAAGATTACTAGTATTACTATTACTTATTTGAATCTATGTAAGGTTTGCTTTCAAGCTTTCCTCGTAAATACCTAGAATAAATTATTATATTACATAATTTAATCACACCCTGACCCTTAATTTATACTAGAAAATAAAATTATTTGTTTAGGCTAATTTATTTTTAATCCCAGTGTTTAAAGGAAATAGACTCATTAAGACATTATTAATTGACCATAAAGAAAGTTGTAGTAATTTTTTATAAAATATTGATGAAACGTGTCCGGGCCGAGTTTTGAGGATGGACAATGGAGATTAAAAAATGATTGGGAACTGAGAAATTTAATTTAACGAGATGGGCAAGACATATAAAAGAAAAGAAGACCATAAGAAAAGAAGACAATTCTTTACCAAAGAAATTATTGGAGACCAACTGAGAAGGAATCATAAGACCCCTTGGTGGACCGAAACTGAGATGGCGGGACTTCAGAAAACTGTGAAGAAGGAAGGAGGACGCAAGATGCAGAGATGATGGAGGCAGTGTGTCGGGGAGGCCGAGTACCATCTAGCATTGACTTTATATCTATAACGTCAATGCATCCAAAGGCATTGATAGGCACTGGTACCATCTAGGGTACCAGTGGCCACATCAGTAAGTACGTAAGTGAGTATTTTTGAAATCTGGCTATAATTCAAAAACTGGTACATATAACACATCCATCTTTACAATATCCTTTTTTAAATGACACTTGGTTCAAATAATGTTCTTATCATATTGGCGGTAATGTTTGTATTATTGTCATTAAAGTCACATAATCATTACAAAATTCATGTTGACAGTTACATCTTATGGAACCGCCTCTCGTAGTCTCGTAGTATATATGATGACACACGATCGAATTTTCTTAGTAAAACTTGTATTACATAATTTAACCTTAGAAAATAAACATGTTATCGTATATATTAGTTAGTACATAGAGTTTAAAATATATAATAAAATTAGTAATCTATTTTACAGGACTCGGGCTATCGTGTGGGCCAAAACTCCAATATTTGGGCGTGCTGTAACTTTTGGTGCAAAAGCAACAACTATCAAGAAACATTACCGTTACATAATTAAGGCAAATATATTGTTAAGTTGTTTACTCAAACAATAACTCTTATATTGCATAAACATGTCTTATTATGTCACTAGTTGTCAACCCATTTTAAGTCGTCATATGAAATATGAAATAGTACGATATTTACTCCACCTTATCTAAATTATTTTGTGGATTATAATTTTTCAATGCGTTTTTTTTCATTTACAACAATATATAATAAAATCTACTAGAAACCATACTTTAGGTATAAGTTTTTGAACAGGAAATTCCTATTAATAAAGCACAATTGAAATTAATTTCATTTTGTAATGCATATCATCCTAGTTCGACTGTATGCAAACAAGATAATATAATTTGTTCGAAAAATCAAGTAAAAAACCCCTTATCTACATGCCTTTCTTTGAGGCAGTGATGTACGTTTGACAGTGTAAGAGCGAAGGTATTAGACGCTTTGACCGTGCTCACTTTATTGGAATAGTTAGAACTGAGACAGTACAATGAACTCACAAAAAACATTTCAATTTAGTGAAATATTTGATTAAAAATTAAATTAAATTAAATAATTAATTAAATTTTATTAAAATTACTTAAGTATTAGCAAAATTGGTACTCTCTTCAAGGTAGAAGTGCAGTGTTCTACCGACGGGAATATTCCAAATTATTGTCCTCATATAAATTATAAAAAATAACATGTTAAGGTTACGTTAGTTAAATAGACGAAGCAAAATGATGCTTTAAAAAGCATGGCAGTTTTTCTTTAGGTGTATGACAAGTTCTCGTTGTAAAATAATGAATAGATTTCTACGAAGTTTTTTGTCAATGTACCCATTTTGATTATTTAGCTCATGGAAGTGTGGCTTGCAATATTCTCAAAAGTCCGTGTGTAGAAAACTCTATAAATTCCTACTCATTAATGTACTCAGACTACCATATGAGAAAAATTATAAATGCAATTTCCTGAGAAATGATGTTGAAGACGAGCAGAGGTGAAATGAAATCCTTATTGAGATTCATTTCCTTCGTGGCACCAAGACATGGGAAGTGTTGTGCCATATAATGTTTTATATTATGGAAAATGCATAATTTATAAGCTAAATATCTTTAGCTATAAAATGAGCTATGAGACCTAGGCTATATATTAATATATAGAAGAATGCATATAGTTTTGTACCTATGGTATCACAAATATTTTGAATAGCTGAATCATAAATGTGTTACATTATTCCTTAAATGAAATACGAAATTCTTTTTGTAAATAACTAACTCTTAACTGACCATAACATATCATAGACTCTTTGACATTTATTGTTTTAAATAGTTCTATTTTCTCTTCGTATTAAAATCTGTTATACTTCTTGAATAAACAATTAAAGAATAAGAATAAAACCAATATTGCATTGTATTGTACTATTTCATTTGGTTGTAGCACGTAGACTTCTCATTCTATTGGAAAGTATAGAGCTGACTTTGACTAGTGTTTAATATCCGGCGAAGTTAGAATGAGCTACTGTAAACTGATTCTTTTCTTTCATTTTGTGAAAAAGTACAGTTTTAGCTCTACTCTTTGGATTAAATAAACTTCGAAACAAAAATACCACTGCCCTTTAAGATGACTTTAGGTGAAAAGGTTCATGAACCTATAAGGTTATTATTTAATTATATTACTATTCAAAATCACATGAGGTTTTTAAATGTTACAAGCCTGCTAGACCACGTTCATAGTTATCCTTTTGCTGATGACTCACTTAAATGGCATCTTACAATTAGTACTCACCTACTGTTTAGTAAAAGGACATTTCAAAACATTGAATAATTAATTCTCTAATCTAAGTTATTTTGTTATGAAGAGGAGTTGAGCAAAGTATATACATAATTAATTAGCAAGGAGGGCCTTGAATGTTTTGTAGAGAATGAAATTAAATGGAGATTATAAGATGAGAAAAAATGAACACACTTTTGGGATAGGAGAACAAGCACTGTTTTATTTACTTTTTGATACACAACATGTGTTAGCAATAGAGAATAATTTAATTTCATTAAGAACACATGTTAGTTGCAAGGAAAAGGGATGTACATTAAATAAAACATAGAGTGTTAAATAATATGAATGGTTAAAGTTTACTGAACATACCGGGGGCCTTGAATCCCCAGTGGATTCAACAAAAACAGTTCACGAATCCACAGTTGGCAGGGGAAACACTTTGTGGGCAGATCTTCTGAGGTTGCCACTTGATGTTTTTCAGTCTATCACTCGCACAACCCCATCAGCCCCTGGATGAACTGCTGTAATTCGAGCGAGAGGCCACGAGAGAGGTGGTGAGTCCATATGTACCAGAACAAGGTCTCCCACTTCAAGATTTTTTGATTTCCGAGTCCACTTGGTACGTTGTTGCAAGTTGTTTAAGTATTCTAGGTGCCATCTATGCCATATGCGTTGATGAAATGCTTGAACTAGCTGCCATTGCTTGAGACGGTTTTCAGGAACTGTCAGGAGATTAGGTTCAGGTACTGCTGTGAGGGGTGCACCAATCAGGAAGTGTCCGGGAGTCAGTGCTGCGAGATCCGAAGGATCATTTGAAAGAGGTGTCAGTGGTCGGGAATTGAGCATTGCTTCGATTTGGGTCAACAATGTGATGAATTCAATGAGTGTTAAGACTGAGTTTCCCATTACTCGACGGAGATGATGTTTCACATTCTTTACAGACGATTCCCACAATTCTCCTTGATGCGGAGCGGCTGGTGGATTAAAATGAAAATTGATGCCTTTAAGTGAAGAGAATCGTTGAATCTTCCGTTTGGAGTCTTGACAATAAAGAGAATTTTCAACAATCTTGCGTAGGGTAGAGTCAGCACCAATGAAGTTGGACCCACAATCCGAGTAAATGTCGGAAGAATGTCCTCTGCGAGATACAAATCGAGTCATTGCAGCAATGAAAGATTCAGTCGTTAGGTCTGTTACTACTTCCAAATGTACAGCTTTCGTGACGAGGCAGATGAAAGTACAAAAGTATGACTTTATGTGTCTCACTGCCTTGAGGTTGAAGATTTTTACAGTAAAAGGTCCTGCATAATCTATGCCGGTGTGGAGGAAAGGTCGAGCAGGAGTTACACGAGACTGAGGGAGATCAGCCATGAGAGGACACACATTTCTAGGTTTGACTTTGAAACATCTGACACATTTATGGATACGAGAGCGTATGGCACAACGGGCAGACAGTATCCAAACATGTTTGTAAAGTAATGCTTGAGTAAGCTGAGGGCCTGAATGAAGATTGTAGATATGGTAGTGGTCAATGAGAAGATTTACCACATGATGCTTTTTTGGCAGAATAATGGGATGTCGAGCATCTTCAGGAAGTGATGTCTGAGAAAGACGTCCTCCAACACGCAATAATCCAAATGAGTCAATGAAAGGTGAAAGACGTTGTAAACGAGTGGAGCAAAATGATTTCCGTTTGAGGCAGTTGATTTCTTCTGTGAATACTTCTTTTTGTACAAGTTTAAAAATGTGATATTTTGTGTCTTTCAGTTCCTGTGTTGAGATGAAACCTTGGCGTTTTTCAGAACCTTTACAGTTGTGTATGAAACGAAGGACGTAAGCAAAAATCCTAAGAAGTCGTTCCCATGAAGAATATTTAATGAGAAGATTGGTCAGCGTAGATTCAGTGGTAGTTGACACAAGTACAGTTAGAGGAGTGTGTTTTACTTCATCTAATGTTGAGATATCTGTAGGTGAAAAAGTTACATCAGGCCAGTTTGAAGGGGGAAGAGAAAGCCAAGAAGGCCCTGACCACCAAAGGGGGTGAGACACAAGCTCAGTGGCTAGAATACCTCATGAAGCACAATCAGTAGGGTTTTCCTTGCTAGGGATGTAACGCCAACAGTGATAGGGGACAAGTTCTTGTGTTTGGGCGACTCTGTTAGCCACGAATGTTTTCAGCCTGTAAGATGGAGTTTGAAGCCATGTCAAGGTTACTGAAGAATCACACCACAAATAACATTGGTTGAGTGAAATTAAGGGTTTGAATGAAGAACAACAGAAGTTTACGAGTTGAGCTAATAAGTGGGCAGCGCAGAGTTCTAATCGTGGAAGAGTCACCTTCTTGAGAGGGGCGACTCTAGTTTTAGATAAAACCATACGTGTAGTCACTTCTCCGTTGGGTTGGGAACATCGTACATAGACAACAGCTGAAAACCCACGTTCAGAGGCGTCTGAGAAGCCGTGAAGTTCAACACTAGAATTTGGAGAGATTTTCAATGCTCTAGGGATCTGAATGTCTGCAAGTGCTGGTATCGCTGAGATAAAGTTACTCCAAATTGCACTAAGTTCTGGAGTGAGAGGTTCATCCCATTGTAGACCGGTCGTCCAGAGAAGTTGAATAAAACATTTCGCTGTCATAGTACATGGGCTAAGAAATCCACAAGGATCGTATATTTTAGCGACTAGACTGAGAACGTGACGTTTAGTTAGTGTTTTTGGCGGTAGGTTGAAATGAAATGAAAAATTGTCCGAGTCTGGAGACCAGGGTAGGCCAAGTGTAGGATTATTGTTACCAGCTGAGTTATGAAGTATGAATCATCTGCTATTTGGTTTGTTTACATTATTTGTTTAGTTTTTTGTAAATAAATAGTTTTTGGTTGAGTTTACTTAAAATGAGTTTTAATAATTAATTATTCTAATTGGCGACGAGAAAATGCCGAGGAAAACAGACCAGTCTCAGTATAGGAGTGTAATTGACTGTAGTAACATGTCTTGCATACAAGATAGAATGAGCAGATTTTCATTTAAAGAGTATAATAGTGAACAATTGTGGGAAGACTACATAGCTCGTTTTGAGTTGACCTGCAGAGTTAAGGGACTGGGTGGTGCTAACACAGAAGAACAAGCGGCTCGGCGAGATCTTCTATTGGCAAATATCGGAGAGGAGCACCTCAGGGCACTGTCGGACCAGATGTATCCAAGGGCCTGGGAGGAGTGCACCTACGACGAAGTCAAAGAGGAAGCCAACCGGTTGTTCAAGCCTACAAGAACCCTTTTTGCAACAAGGTTTGAGTTCGAAAGAGCAATAAGAAAAGATGGTGAGACATTTATTTTGTTTTATAACAGATTGAAGTCTTTAGCTAGAAGTTGTAAATATGGAGATAGCTTAGATGAACGAGTACGAGATAGGTTTGCAGTAGGAAGCAACTGCCCAGAATTTGAAGTCGAAGTCAGACAAAGATGGCCCGAGGGAGTTAATAACCGAGGTGAGCGTGTTAAGTCAACAGTAGTACTAGAGTTAGCCCAATCTATGGAACGAGCGAGAGATGAAGTTTCCAAACATTCGTGTAAAAATGAGATTTTTAAAGTAAGTGACAGTAAGGAAAAGAGGAAACCAGAGGTACAGAAATCTACTGGCTTCAATAGGTGTTATAGATGTGGGTTTACACATGACCCTAGTGAAGATAGGTGTCCTGCTATTTCTGCTGTGTGCAAGAAATGTTCAAGGAGAGGCCACTTCGCAAGAATGTGCAAAAGTAAACATAATTTTTTCAAGAGAACAGATGGTAATTTGAGAAAAGTAGATGATTCTTGTGATCAAACTTACGATGATGAGTGTAGTTCTGATATTGATGTTAGCGGAACACAAATTAGGTCTGTCAAGAGTAAGGTTCCCAGAGCTACGATAGATGTAGAATTGAACGGGTATAATGTTAGAATGGAGTTTGATTCAGGAGCTCGGGTAAGTGCTATAAGTTTGTCTCTTTGGGATAAGATCAATTCAAGTGGCGAATCTCTAAAAAAGACGTCTGATGTAATCACTGGCTATGGGAAAAATAAGCTAGAAGTTATGGGTAAGGCTTTTGTGGACGTTACTTTACGTAATCGTACTGAGCGATTGCCAGTTATTGTATTACTAGAAGATGATGTTCCATTATTTGGGTTGCCGTGGAGTGTAGCTTTCAATCTTAGTTTGCCTAGGGAAGTTAGGGTTAGGGGTATTGATAATGGAAAGACAAATAGTAAAGAGACAGGCAAGAATGAAGAAAGTTGTAGAAAAGAGTTACAAAAAGAAGTTGTGACATTAACTCAGGAGTTTTCTGATCTCTTTCGTGATGAGCTAGGAACGATATCTGACTCTAATGAAGTTATCCATCTAAAAAGTGGAACAAAACCTGTATCTTACGGGGCACGACGAGTTCCATTCCCCTTAAGGGAGGCAGTGGAGAGAGAATTACGGCGATTAGTACAGGAAGGAGTTTTAGAAGCAGTGGATCCTTCCGAAACACCGATAGAATGGAGTACCCCAACTGTCAACGTAGACAAGGGTGGAGGTAGAGTCAGAATCTGTGGCGATTTTCGTACAACCTTGAATCCAAACATAGTTCCGGAGAGACACCTCTTGCCGACCTTTGATGACTTGACTTCCAAATTAACTGATGGAAAGATATTTTCAGTCATAGATCTTCGAGACGCGTACTTGCAAATGAAAGTACACCCTGAGTCACAAAAGTATCTTACAATAGCAACTCATGTAGGCTACTTTCGCTACAAAAGGTTGCCTTTTGGTCTTTCCTCAAGTCCAGCAAAATTTCAAAGGTACATGGAAAGTTTACTAAAAGGACTTAATGTTGGAGTTCTACTTGATGATATAATCATTTCTAGTAAGGATACGACCACCCATATAACCACTCTTAGAGAAGTTTTGAGGCGGCTAGAATCAAGTGGAATAAGAGCAAAACTGTCAAAATGTAAGTTCTTTCAGAAGTCTGTAAAGTATTTAGGTCATACAATAGATGGGAATGGTATTCATCCCTCCGAAGACAAAGTTGAAACCATAAGACACGCACCAAGGCCAAGAAACGTGAAAGAATTACGAGCTTTTCTAGGGGCACTAAATTTTTATGAAAGGTACATACCTAATCTTCATGCGATCGCTTCGAGCTTGCATAAGCTGACTGGTACGAAGACTAAATGGAAATGGACTGACACCGAACAAACTACGTTCGACCAGTTGAAGAATATCCTGTCATTAGAGAAGACATTAGTCCCATACGACATATCAAAGCCGATCATTGTTGAATGTGATGCTAGTGAACAAGGGGTGGGTTCAGTGCTGTTACATTTGATGCCGGATGGAACGGAAAGGCCAGTCATGTACGCCTCGAGGACACTAACGGAAGCAGAAAAAAGGTATGCTACAGTTGACAAGGAAGCACTGGCGTTAGTTTTTGCCGTGAAGAAGTTTAGACAATACCTCAGTGGAAGACATTTCAAGGTGAGGACGGACCACAAGCCACTTGAAAGAATATTTGGAATGCATCGAGATCTTACCAAAGTAGTAAACAACCGCTTGGTTCGTTGGGCTTTGTATTTAATGGAGTATGATTTTGAGATCCAGTACATCAAGGGACAGGATAATTGTGTGGCTGATTTTTTGTCTCGGTTTTCACTCAAGACACAAGAAGTATTAGATCCAGATGAGAGAGAGATTCGAGCATTGGTTCAGGAGAAAATTGACGTAGTTTATCAAAATCATGAACTTGTAAGAGAGTATAAGAAAGACCCAAATATGAAGAAACTTACAGACTACCTGGAGCATGGTTGGCCAAAAGATACAGAAAGCTTGCCATCATCTATGAAACCATATTGGAATAAGAGAGAAGAGCTGACATTAGAAAACGGCATAATCATGCGATTAGGAAGAATTGTGGTGCCACAGATTTTGAGAGAAAATGTATTGAAAGAACTCCACAAAGGACATCCTGGAATAGAGGCCATGAGATCCCTATCAAGGTATTATGTTTGGTGGCCTAATCTGAATAAGGATGTTGAGGTTTATGTCCGTAGATGCCACCCTTGCCAGAGTAACCGATCATTTGACACAGAAGTGCCTCTATATCCTTGGAATGTGCCAAGTGATCCTTGGGAAAGAATTCATCTCGACTTCGCAGGTCCATTTGACAACCGATTCTGGTTAGTAGGAATCGATGCTTACTCAAAATGGGTTGAGATCGAAGTTATGGACCGTACGACAACTGCTGCTCTTGTAAATAGATTAAGGACTTGGTTTTCGAGGTATGGTATTCCTAAAAAAATTGTATCCGATAATGGCACCCCATTCACGTCCCATGAGTTTAAGACTTTTTGTAAGAACAATAACATATGTCATGTCACATCAGCACCGTATCATCCAAAAACCAATGGTTTAGTGGAGAGGATTATCAGAACCTTCAAGAAATGAAAGAGGGCTTGGATGTGAAAGATTTGGGTTTAAAATTTTAATTGTGGTTGTTCGTACTTTGAGCAAACTTGGTATGTAACACAGCGTCTTCCATTTGGTTACACTCTTGATTAAGAAACTTGACTATTTCGACTACTTTTGGTAGAGAATGTGTTTCGCATTTTATATTAATTCTAAAAGCCTCTAGTTGTTTTAGAAGGTCATTGTCTAGTTTTCGTAAGAGTATGGTGGACAACAGAGGGTTAGAGTTAGAAGTAATGTCACAGTCAAGAGCTTTAAGTGCTTCTGTGTGTTCATAAAACAAGTTGAGGAACGTTCTGAGACATTTGTTTGAGGTAGAGGAAATGTCCGGTAGGTCGATCAGTTTGTTGAGGTGAAGTGTAGTTAACCTTCGGGTGTTGTGGTATCTGTCTCTGAGGAGCTGATAGGCAATTGAGTAATTGGCTGAAGTGATACTGAAAGCTTTTACGAGATTTAGTGGTTCATTTTTGAGCACGCTGAGAAGATATTGAAGTTTAGTGACGTTTGAAATGCTTTCATTCAGATGGATGCTAGTGTCAAATAAGTTGATGAAACTTACCCACTGTAGAGGAGAACCATCAAACGTGATGAGGTCTAGTTTTGGGAGTCTTACGTGAGCAGATGATGAAGCTGAGATGTCACTAATTCTTGTTGAATCTTTACTTTCTTCTGGAACATCTTGCGGCTGCTGTTGGAGAAGGGCTTCAATCCGAGACTTGGCTTCGACGAATAGCAGTCGCAGTTTGTCTTCAGTGTCACTTACTGCATCCAAATCTAATTCTTCTGATATATGTTCCAAGGCTCTTTCCAGGTAATTTTCATAGGCTTCATGTTTCTTTTCTAACTGGTTCGAGAAGTTGTTTAAAGTTCTGATTTGTATCACTGACAAGATTGAGGGGGAAAGTGTTTCAAGCTCTTGTACAGATTTGAGAATCTTTTCAAAAGAATTTTGTATGAGAAGGGTTGATTTGTTGAAGTTTGAGAGTGAAATTGATCTGGTAGCCATATTGGACAAAACAAATGGAGTGAAACTTTACTAAGAATTAGATAGAGTTTGTGACACTATGAGAGTGGGGAGAAACATAAAGAGATTGAATGATAAAATAAAGATATTTCGATAGCTTGAAAGTGTTCTGAAAATTGAATCCAAAGA